TAACTTCTGAAAATGTCAGAGCTAGTAATTATGTTAACCAGTGTAGTCTTTTCCCCCTCTAGAGACCAAAGCATTTTAATTATTTGAAATAGAATAGTAAGGAAAGTACCTCCCTCCTACCCCCACTTTTTTTTCTTAACTTTTGCATTATCCAGTCAGAATATAGTGACTTAGGTATTTTCTCTGCAACCATTGGAGAGCCTAAGCTGACCTCTCATTGACTTCTGAACTGGACCCAGACATTCTTTGTTTTCTGAAGCAAAATGCAGTAAACAAATCTTTCAGTCCTTATAGCCTGTATTGCTTTGGAGCAGTTGATTAACATCCTCCCTAATCCCCTTGGTTAACTCCCTTTCATATCACCTAACCAGGTTTCCCCCTTTAATAGATCTCTCAATAGTTTATTTCACTTTTCTCACAGCCATTCATTAGCTTTGACTTCCTGATATTTTTCTCATATTACATCCAGGCTCTTATCTCCAGCATTCCTCTATTATCTCTACTAGATTTCAAATCTATTTTCTTTAAACTGTCTTTCCCTCCCTCCTCTTATTTCTGCTTTTTTGAAATACTAATGCTAATTAGGGGGAGAGATGTGGAGGATGAATGTTTTTGAAATACAAACACCAAGCCTCCACACAACAGGACAACCCAAAAACCAATCACAACATTTTAAGGGACATCTTAAAGTTTGGTGGCAAATGATAAACCCTTATCATTTTGTGAACACAGCTGCCAAACTCGATTGATTAACAGGCTTTTGTTTATTGTAGGCTGGCAAATACACACACGTTTTACCTTAAGAGGTGCCTCTTTAAGTTCTGAGGGTTTTGGAGCTGACTCATCGGTGTGACCTTTTGGGACAAAAGCCTAATTTAGGATATAGATAGGTCTTTCCAGAGGCACAATTCCTTACAGAACAGAAAGACAGGGGAGTTCTCTAAGACCACTTTTCCAACAGCTCAGAGGAGCACTGAGGGCTTGAAATGCCTCCATACAGAAGAGTGTAAACAATAGAGACCAAGGGCCCAGTCTGCCTCCTTTTGTCACCGGTCTCTTGTCTGGAAAGATGCTTGGGATAAGAAGGATGAGAAGAGAATAGAAGGCCTGAGCTAGGGCCAAGTGCCAGAATTTGTCACCAGGCCAAGTTTTTGCAAAATAAAAGTGCTATTGCCTTAAAAAAAGCAAGTATCTGAAATAAGTTAGGAATAGGTGCTGTCACAAAATAGGCATAAACATCGACGGTAGTTTACTAAGATACCTAGAACTGTCCCTTCATTTTTCTCCTTTCAATAGATGATTAATTGCTGCCCTGCTAAAGGAGGGTTTTTTTTTTTTTTTTATGGCTACTATATTGCAACTCTAGACGTCCTCTGTGCAATTTCTCTCAGCAAGCCCCAACTGTAATAATTGTTTGCTAATTGTAAAATCCTTATCCAGAATGAGGTTTGGGCAAACAATTTGTACTACTGTAATTACATTGTAAAACTGTTTTAGTCCCTTGATTGTTCAGAATTAATCGTATAAAGGCCTAGAAGTTACATTAGGTTCACAGTTAAAAATGCGAAGAGTGTGTGGAGAGGGCAGGGGAACGCTTTTCAAAACTACTGAGTTGATTTTAAGTCCACAGACTCAAACTATCTCATCCTTTAAGGAAATGTGGGTGTAGGTAATTTACAGTACATTTTTATGTTAATCTGGCACATCGTGGTTAAAGCATGCAATAGTCTAGTCTTCCTCCTACTTTGAAGATTTTGGTTATGTTTGCAAAGAGTGACTTACCTGAACCTTCTTTTTTCATCTGTGCTAGAAAACAAAAGAAAAAGATTACCGGAAAGCAACAATACAAAATAAATCCTGTTGTCAAGTATATATAGCATTTCCAAATTTGAAAAAGTGGCCGCAGGATTGTGTTAACTCTAAGCCCCGTTACCTCTTTGCCGAAGAACCCCTAAGGCTGTTAAAGACCACAGTCTTCCAAGTGTATTTCGCAGTAAATTTCTCTCAGTTAAATTATACTTACACAATTTCCCTAGCAGTTCATTTAAGGATCGTAAACGTAGGTGTGCCCTGCTGGTGTTTGGTTTGACTCCCACCCCCTACCCCCGCGTCTCCCTCCTACCCCCGAGTCCCGCAGTTGCCTGGCGGGCCTGCAGCCGGGACGACGATCACACCCGCGCGGGCAGCCGTCGGAAGGCGCTCAGGTAACCGCCGAAGTCGGCTGGGGTTCAGGGAAGGGGTCGCAGGCTGCCGGCCCAGCTTAGTCCACTCCCTAATCGGAAATGGAGTGTGTTGCCTTGGCCCAACCAGAGTAGTCTCCAAAAAATTAAACAGAAATCGCCTTCCAGAGACGGGGAGGTTCCGTCTTGGCCTGAAATTCTGCTTCCAAGTTCCGGTTGCGGAGCCGGAGCGGGGAGTGCAAGCATGGGCATAAAGGCGCTGGTGATGCACCTGGCTGCCCACCCCTCTCCGTCCCCAGCTTTTACTCGCGGGCCTGCCTTAATCTCCCAAGTGATGTTTCAGGGCGTTTGTGCAAGAAAACACTACACGTGTACGTGATGGGAAAAAACTAAAAGATCCTGAAACTTGAATGTCAGAAGAAAAGAGAGGGAGAAACAGAGAGAAAGGAAAAAGAGAGAGGAAGGAAATGATAAGGGATCCTGGAGATGGTTTAAAACAAACAAACAAACAAACAAAAAGAAAACCACGGAGTTCCTTCAAGGCAAAGCACTTCTGAAGGTTTTGGAAGAACGTGTGTCAGCCCTTCAGGCACCCCGGGTGCCAGTACGGAGTTGGGGGCGGGGAAGGGTGCAATGTAGGAGGCAGGGAAGGCTCATCTGCTGGCTTTGTGGAAACGCTCCACGGCTGGGGGCTATCAACCCGCGCTGACTCTTGCTGAGTGCTAAAGGAAGCGATCGTTGTCGCCTAGGGAGACTGCGGACGCTCCGTGGAACCTCGTTCCAGATCTCTGTCCTGATGACGCTCGCCCTGTGTCCCCCGCTCCTCGGAAGCCCACTCTATAGAAACTCCAGTCCTACCTCGCGGACGGAACGCAAATTCTCTTTTACTTTGCGCTTAAGAGTTGGCTTCAATACGTTTTAGAGCTCCTAACCTTTCCCAAACAATCTCCGGATGAAAGGATCCCCCCAGTCTTTCTCAAAACTCTTCCCCCTACCTACACTCACGCAAGGGTGAGGGTTCAGTCCGCAACGGGCGAGTGGGACGGGGGTGGGGACCACGGGGGCACGGGCGGGCTGCTTGGAGGGAGTCAGCCTTTTGGCCACCTTCAGGGCGGGAATAGGGACTGGCAGTTTGCATTCCCCGCAGATCGAAGCTCCCTGCTGATCGATTATTTGATAATTGATTTTCCCCGCAGCCAATGCGCGGCGGCCTGGGCGGGGGCGCCCCCTGATTGGCCGAGAGCTCGTCCGCGGCTGCCTACCGAGATTTGGGTGAGCTCATTTTCCAGCCGACCGCAGGGGGAGTTTTCTGCGAGGCTTCAGCTGGAGGGAGGGGGAAAAATCCTCTCCGCGCAGAGCGAGCTGCGAGCCCTGCTTTGGGATGTGAGGTTTCCAGCCGCTGTGAAGAGCTGCTGCGGCTGAGCCATCTCGGCAGATCCGAGTCCAGCGGACAGAAATATAAATACGAAAATAACGCCACTAACTATAATTACAAGGGACAAGCTTAGAGTGGGAGAATAAAGGGGAAAAATTAAAGCCCAGTGAATAGGTGTTAAAGTTAAAAAAAAAAAAAAAAAAAAACTGGCTGTTTGGAGCCTCCGAGTTGTAGGTACAGGCAGCTTTTGTCTGAAATCTCAGCTCCCGAGGAGGATTTCTTTTTCTCTGGCACTGGGAGGTTTCGCCGAGCCAGGTTAGGGACGGGGAGGACGAGTGCGGGAAAGGATGTCTTGGGGTGGTGAGGGCAGGGCGTCGCTGGAGAAAGAGCTTGCGTTGGGGCGGGGGGGCGCGGGGCTTCTCCAGGCCCGAGAGAGACAGAGGCTGAAGCCCCTCGGCGCTTCTAAGACAAAGGCAGCGGTGGCTGCAGCCCGAGACTAGCACTCCGGCAGCGTCGCGCCGCGCCCTAGGCGCACAGCCGCGTCTTCTCGAGCTGGTCGGAGAAAGCGCCTCCCTCCCCGCGGCTCCCCGGCCCGGGCTCCGCCCGCGAGGACTGGGGTGTTGAGAGCCCGCGCGGGGTTTCGCTTTCCGGCGATCAGAAATAGCTTGGTGTTTGTAAACAGGCACGGGGGGCACAATCCCGGCGCTCAGCTCATTGTTCCCTCTCTTCCTCTCTACTTCGCGCAGGACGCCTGGGTTGGGGCTGGGAACCGCCAGGGTTAGGAGGTGGGGGAGTCTAGACCCGAAGTGACAAAATGCGAGTATTTCCTTTTCCCCCGGCCCGGCGTCCACCTCGAACGGCAAAGAAACCTCTAAGCTGGGTCTGCCGAAAGACGGAGCCACCTCCACCCCACGTTCTCAGGACTCCTTAGCAGAGGCTTTCCCAGCCCGGCTTCTCCTCCTCCTCCTCCTCCTCCTCCTCCTCCTCCTCTTCCTCCTCCTCCACGCTCTCGGTTTGACTTTTCTCCTTGCAGTGTTTAGTTCTGAGAATTCAGTACTTTGCGCATCACACCCTACCCCGAAACACACTGGCAGACCCCAATAATTTCGAGGAAAGTCATGAGGTCTAGGCGCGGAGCCCTGTGCAAAATAACTCCCGCTTCTCCCTGCCGGGCGTTGATTCCCAATTTATTTCAAGAGAGCGGGCTTTGGGGAGAAAGTCTGCAGGGGGAGGAAGAGAAAAGAATACTGAAGATAAAGCCGGCGGCCGCGGGCTACCGCCTGCGTTCGTGTGCGTGTGCCCTGGGTGTGTGGTGGTTGTGTCTGGGCTTGCGATTTCATGGAGCGCCTCTCTGCCTCTCGAGTGTGGCCGGAGCTCGCTTCGCGCACCCACCCCTGCCGAGGAGCCTACTTGCTGCAGCCCAATGCATTGTGTAAGACGCGACCTGTTATGGCCACCACTACTTCCGGGTTCTAGCATTCTGGTCGGAATCCACCTCTCCGCCTGTGCAACACACACTTTACACACGCACGGGGACTGCAAGCGGGCAGCATCGATCGTGGCTCCTTTAAGACAAACTCAGACAGACATTTTTTTTTAACCCTCCTTCTCTAATCTCCCTCCAGTGCAGCACTTGCAAAGAGGGAGAGAGAGGGAGAGAAAGACAGAGAGAGAGAAGAGAGAAACTGATTAGAAATTAGAACTGATTCAAGGGAAGCGAGCGCTAGGGCTTTGTGCATTTGAATATTAACATTTGAGGTGTTCTGACCAGAAGAAGACAGAGCGGATGATCATTCATTCACCACGTTGACAACCTCGCCTGTGATTGACAGCTGGAGTGGCAGAAAGCCATGAGATTTGGTAGTTGGTTCTGAGGGGCGCTCTTTTTTTTTTTTTTTTTTTTTTTTTTTTTTAACTGATTTTTGGGGGAGAGAAGATCTGCTTTTTTTGCCCCCGCTGCTGTCTTGGAAACGGAGCGCTTTTATGTTCAGCGACTCGGGCGCTTTGCTTCAGGTCCCGTAGACCGAAGATCTGGGACCAGTAGCTCACGTTGCAGGAGACGTTAAGGGATTTTTCGTCGTCCTTTTTTTTTTTTTTTTTTCCAGGGGAGTTTGCATATTTGTTTCTTTTCACACTGGCCTTAAAGAGGATATATTAGAAGTTGAAGTAGGAAGGGAGCCAGAGAGGCCGATGGCGCAAAGGGTACGTATTAAAAAACAATTGTGGAACTCAAATGTGAGGTTAAATTGAAACGTGGCCGAAAGACACGACTAAAAAGTTTCCTTTTTTCTCTCTCTTTTTAAAACTGAGGCTCCTAAAGCCGTGGCCTAAAGCGAGAGGATTTATTCAATGCATTTGTAGACTTATGTGTGTTACTTGGAGTTGTTAATTAAAGGAATCAATTTATCTGTAGATTCCTAACCAGCAGCTATATAAATAAAAATGCAAGCTCAAACAATCATCTACTTAAAAAAAAAAAAAAAAAAAAAAAGCTAGATACCTAATGCTATAATTTGAATATTCATAGATCAGAAGTTTAAAAGTTATGTTTAAACTAAAATATGCAGCTGGAAACTTCTGATAGATGTTATTGATTATGCTCATCTTTAATATCACTAGGAGTATTTAGCTTTTTAAAGCAAATAACTTTGTCATAGTATAGCCAATTTTTTGATCAGAAAACATTCATCTTTTATAATTTCAATTTGTATAAATTTGTATTCAAGGCAATATTTTGCAAGTTTTTCTTAGATAAGCCATGTACTAATTGGATACTAAGCACACAGTTACTCACTTTAAAAAATGCAATACTAATTTCCCCATATTTCTTTTTCAATGGAAATGCAGTAAGAGTAAAGTGAGACAATGACAACCCAACTGAGGTAGTTTCTTAAAAGAAAGGGGGTCTACAAAAAGCCTTTCTGCATAATTTGTGTCCTGGCCCTCAAAGCACTGTTTGCAAAAGAAAGTTACCAGGCTGACATATTCTTCTTTACTCCTTTGGTTCAGGCAAATGTCAGCGTTCTTCCAAACTCTTTTCACACCTCTGGCTTTAAGGAGATGAAAGTGGCAATTCCTCCTTTCTTTGAAAATCATTTCACTCTCAGCGCTTCCAAATCTTGGGAAAATAACTTGCCTGGAATGAACCAATTAGAAAAACCTAAATAGCTAAATTTCACACACACAAAATAATGACAATCAATATGAAAGTAGTTTGGTGTTTTTTTGTTTTTGTTTTTGTTTTTGTTTTTGTTTTTTTTCTGCAAGAGGAAAATGGGAGGTTTTCTGTGCATTTGCTTTCGAATTTGCTTTAAACCTGGTGAGTAACATTTGCCTTCTTGACTTCTAGTCTGGAAAGAAAGTTCATAAGAGTAAATAAGAAAATAGAATATTAGCTGCTTCAACTGCAGATTTTCTTTAACTTTGTGGGGGCGATTGCTCAATTCTAAATTCAGCTCTGATATTCAGGAAAAGCTACCCTTCTTTGAGTTTCATTTATAAGGGGTCAGTTAGTTTTATATAATTTAGCAAAGTTTGTCTTGGAAAGCAAAAGAAATGCAGTGTCTTGCAGGACTGCCTAACCTCATGCTGGCAGGGAAATAAAATGAGAAGCCTGTCTAAATTCACGTGCTTGGCGTAGCTGTTCCCATCGTAACTTTTTTTTTTTTTTTTTTTTTTTTTTAATTCCCCCTGATGTGAAGGGGCTGTGAAAATAGGCAGGTTTGCTGCACTGTCCTGGCACGTTTTATTGTTGTGATTTTGAATTTCTTCCTCCAGAGACATGCCCGTTTCACCTTCCACTCTCGGGAAAATGCTTCCCTTTCTCTCCTTCTTTCTTCCTTCCTTCCTTGCCAAAGGATCCAGAATTTCTGAACTAGTTGATAGGGACACAAGTTAGAGCAAGATCATTCATCCCAGGCGAGTCTCATTGAGAATTCTGTCATTTTTACTTAAAAATGTCTTTTGTTAAATAAGAAAACTCAGCTTTAGAGACGCGAGGCCACCGAATTCCGGGTGGAAGGATCCAGCTGGACTGACCTTATATAAGCTCGGTGCCTTGCGGTTCTCCCATTTGCCCGCCTGGCCTTCTGAACCTTCTTTCTCTCCTGTTTGTCATGCAGTACGACGATCTACCCCATTACGGGGGCATGGATGGAGTAGGCATCCCCTCCACGATGTATGGGGACCCGCATGCAGCCAGGTCCATGCAGCCGGTCCACCACCTGAACCACGGGCCTCCTCTGCACTCGCATCAGTACCCGCACACAGCTCATACCAACGCCATGGCCCCCAGCATGGGCTCCTCTGTCAATGACGCTTTAAAGAGGGATAAAGATGCCATTTATGGGTAGGTACAATGGGCAGCAGGTTAAGTAGTTGAGACTCAATGCTTCCTTCTTTCCCTGTGCCCTTGGTAAGAGGAAAGTCAGAGTTCTCTGGATTGGAGGTTCATCTTTGGTGACTTTTCCTTCACATTGTATGGAGAATTTGGGGAGGTAGCCTGCCATCCCCGAAGCTCTCCATCTCCATACACACTCTGTGCACACCCAGTGCTCTGCTCCACCATGGCACTGCCCGCAAGGGGGTCCCAGATCAGGAGAAGTTGGCTAAAGGTCCCTTGTCCCCCTCTCAGATTCCCTCAGCGGCTAGAGTCCTCCCTCGCTTGATTTTTTTTCGCCCGAGAGCGTTAGGGGTTTCTAAATGTAGGCGCCTTTGTGTTGGAACGAAACTTTTAGTTTAAGGGAAAATCTCTTTTAAGCCACTGATTGTTCTGACTTGCTAAGTTTACTCAGCAGCCTTATGCTGGCTCTGCCACTGCACAATAAAACCAATGCAGGACAGTTGCAGGTCAAGGAAGGGGGAACATGTTTTGCATTTAGGGAGTTTGCCACTGAAGTCAAGGAGAGGCGCTTGCTCTGAACTGTTACACACATTCAGAAACTTCTAGATGTTTTAGCACTTTGTGCTCAAAGGTGAAACCTGCATGATTTGGAAATAAGAAAATTCCGGGCGTTCTTCCTCGGAGGTTTTCTGGCTGCGATTTACACTGCTTGATCTCCTCCGCCATGCAATTAGACCCTGGGCTGGTAGAATCCTTTGAAACTCGCTTGTGCCTACTGTGTGCCGATACATTCGGGGACCTCTTTTTACTTTGCAGAAACTTTGATTTCTATTTATTTATTTATTTATTTATTTTTAAATCAGGACACATTGACTCTCCCCAGCTGGAAAAAAATAGATTTTCTTTTTGCTTTATTTTCTGGTCCCTTGTGCGATGGGCTTGTTTAAATCCCACCGTTCTGTCTGCAACGTTAACTGCAACTGGTTTAGGCTCCGGACAGAACATTTGGGGAAGCTTTGAAAAGGACCCCAAACTGTTAAATTCCCAGCTGGGCTGTGAGAGCTAATAAAAGACTTGAGACACCTCCTTAGGCATTAGAAGAAGCTTTTCTTTCTTTCTTTTGCTTTTCTATTTTTTTTCTTTTTTATGGGCCGAGACAAGCGACATCTAGGCCCCTCGCAATACTAGCTGCTTTGCCACTTTGCAGAGACAAAATGAAAGGCTTTACCGCAGGAACATTTGAAGGAACTTTCTCTGGGGGGCAGTGGGGGCCATTCGCGAAGGGAGGGGAGTGTGTGAGGAGCTGAGGAGGAGCCTCCGGGCTCTCCGAGGGCCTTGGGGTTGAGATCCGTAGGTGCAACCCGGTGACAGTCGGACCCACGGCCATGGACGTCCCTTCCCCAAGTTAGCTGAGCGCCTGCCACCGAATCCCCGGAGCCTGGGCTTCACACGGCGGGCAGCCTCGGAGGAACCCGCTGGAGCCAGCCCTCCCTACCCCTCCGCCTGGCGCCTTTCTCCTCCACCGGATCCTGGATGTGCAGTGGAGGGGATGAGGGCTTGTCGGGTGGGAAACTTAATTCAAAATGGCTGCTGGAAACGCTGGGGTTTTATTCGCAGCAAATGTTGCCAATTTCTCCGGCCATATATGTTAACCGATCCTCAGATACCGTCCATGGCTCAGGGCCTCCGACATCAGGGCTCCAGGAGGAAGGGGAGGTGAGCGGTCACCTGGGCGCGGGGGTGGGGGTAGTGAGGAAAAGGAGAAAAGTAGATGACACAATCGGAGAGGGGGTCTGTTCCTCTTGCTCCTCCGGCTGTTTTTCTTGGGCACCTTTTTCCACTGACTGGGGACTAACCTTTATGTTGTTTGTGACTGTTGTATTTTCTTGCAGACACCCCCTCTTCCCTCTCTTAGCACTGATTTTTGAGAAATGTGAATTAGCTACTTGTACCCCCCGCGAGCCGGGGGTGGCGGGCGGGGACGTCTGCTCGTCAGAGTCATTCAATGAAGATATAGCCGTGTTCGCCAAACAGGTCAGCAAAATAAATGTTAAAAAGTAAAACAAAAAGAGAGCCCCCGCCCCGTCCCTAACACACACACACACACACACACACACACACACACACACACACACGGCACGCTTTCAGAAGTAGCCAGCACATAGTCCACCCTAAGCCAAGCGTGTTACCTCCAACCTCAGATTTTCCTTCTGTCTGAGACTCTCTTTGCAGATAACTTAAAATCACCCATCTGCATCCCCACTCACCCTCCAGAAAGCAAACGCGAAGAGCTCACTCTGCAAAATAAAGTCGAGAAAACCACGGTTGCGACTGCTGTGGACTTGGCGGGCTGAGCTCTGGGCTTGTTTTCAGCTTATTTAATTCACACTGAAGTGTTTCTGCGCGGGGACGAACTTGGTGTCACCGGGTCCCTCCCGGAGGGTTACATCCTGCCCCCAACAGGGTAATGAGGCAAGAAACTAGGAAGGCGACCAGATTTCAAAATTTTCTTTTTTTTTTTTTTCTTTTCCCTTCCCTCCCTCTCCCCTCTCCTTCTCACTTGTATTTAGATTCGCGCAGAAAAACCTCTATTTTCTTCTAATCCAGAACTGGATAACTTGGTAAGAGCGGACCCCTATTCCCCTCCCCCCTCGACCCCCCACCTCCCACCTCCGGCGCCCTCAGCTTTGCTTTGAGAGCCCTGAGATTTCTAGACCGGTCTTCCCGTGCCTGCAGGTTGGCTGCAAATGTTTCTGTCCACGGACAAATGGTCCGGGACAAGATCCCGGGGAAATAAATTCATCTCTAGAGGGGCCGGGCGAGACGGCGCGGGGAAACGCGAGCTTTTGTTTTTTATGACAGCCGGGCTGCGCAGCTCTAATCAGCGCGGGGATTTATCTCCCGGCCTGTCAGCGTGTGTGCTAAAACTCTGCGGACTTCCCAGCCCTTGAAGTCCCATCACGAGGGCAGCCACCAGACAAGAGCCCCCAAGTAACCAGTTTGCCTGAAAGGTGTAAGGAAGGCAGCAGAAACTTTGCAATGGGAAAAGCCACCATTTGAGGGCCATTTGGAATATTTTTCTGTCCGCTCCTTCCAAAGAAACATCTAGTCTAGTATTGTGGCCCTTATCGGGTAGAGTGGGGCCAATGGGACTGAGAAAGGAGAGAGCTATGGGGGACGAGAGTGTTTATGATCCCTACTTAGATACTCTGTTGTTGTTTTAGCTATTTTTTCTCCTTAAGAAATATAAACCTTTAGATGGTACCCAGTTGCTGCTATTAAGTTTTAGTGTTATTGCCATAAATCAAAATAACTCTATTTACTGGTGGGAGGGGTGGGCTGGAGATAGTAGAGCTGTGACAGCCAGTTTTCTGCAAGCCAGGAATGGGGTGCTCATTGTTTTTGTGTCTTTGCAGATGATTCAAGCCATACAAGTATTAAGGTTTCATCTGTTGGAATTAGAGAAGGTAATTTCTCTAACCTCTTTTCCTTTTACTTACCCCTTTACCCCCAAATACACAGGGGTGAAGGTTCGGAATGGCTGAAGTTCAGGCTTCTGAGACACTTGCATAAATGTCTTTCTTTCTAGTAATTAGTGTCAAGGCCAATCTTATCGTCCATTTCTCTTCACAGTTTAATTACAATTTCAGCCACTAAAACTGGGATCACAAACGCCCTAGCCTTGTATTCATTCTTAATAACTTGCTGGCTTTGTGTAAATAGTTGCAATTCTGTACATTCCAGCTGATGTTTAGAATGCTGCTGTGAGGTTGCTTCACAGGTTAATACCTCTGTGGTATTATCCTCTTCCTCTTCTTCTTTGCTGCCTCTGAGGAAGAAAAAAGTTTTGTTCGGTTGTAGTGAGTTTCTGGAAGACAGTCGTGAGAGCAGCAGCAGATCAGACACATGGGAGAGGCAGAAGGGGAGGAGGAGGAGGAGCGGGAAGGAGTCTGGAGGAGGGTAGTGGGGAGGCACATTAAACATTTTGCAGAGACAAAGCAGAGTTGATAGTTGTGTCAATTTCTTGAATCTGTGAATCCTGCACATATCCCACCTTCACACTCAAGAAAGGGTGTGGGATAACATGATTTTGCTAGCTGTTCTATAAATCTCAGCAATAAAAACTTAATGCATTGTAATTCAAACTAACATTAAATTGCAAGCACACTGGGGTTTCTTGTGAATTTTTGCATGTCAGTGATGCCTGGGCCCTGTAGGAAACCTGGGCACCTACACCTAAATATTTTGAGGCATTCATTCTTCTGTTTGTAATAATAATAATAATAATAATAATAATAATAATTTGATATGGTTTGTGGCTGTATGTTTTTCCACACGAGTGCTGGCAACTTGGTTTCCTTCTATTATTTTTTTTAAAGAAAATATTCTAAAATATGATCTTTAGAGATAAAAACCTTAATTACAAATATAATAAGGAATGGGGTTGTCAGACACATAACCTATACCACCACAGTACAGGTCCTTTAGAGAATATACATGTGCGTGTCTGTGTATATATACAGACATATACATTTTTTCCTTAGACACATTGAAAAGGGATTTATGATAAAGTCACTGGATGAAATTAAATAGTTTACCTTAAATGTCACCTACACAGGTCACCTCTCTAATGACCACAGCCCCAGGAGCAGATGAATTTAACATGGGTGTCGAATATGTTGTAGCCTGTGAATCATCTTGTCACTGTCAATTTTCTGGGATATCTCTATTTTGCAAGAAAAGAAAGTTATTCCTAATTCTGGATGCGTCTAGGGGTCTCTGGAGGACAATTGCCCTGTGTTTCCCCTATTTGGAAGTTTGGATCTCACAAGGGGGGTGGATTGCACTTGTCAATGTCATTTATGCACTCCTGATTATATTCCCATTTTTTTTATTTCTGTCATAATGTAGGTACACGAATTATGTGACAATTTCTGCCACCGGTATATTAGCTGTTTGAAAGGGAAAATGCCTATCGATTTGGTGATAGACGATAGAGAAGGAGGATCAAAATCAGACAGTGAAGATATAACAAGATCAGCAAATCTAACCGACCAGGTATGCGCTTTTCAATTTCAACATCCCTGGGAAAAAAAAAAAATCTGTATGCATATTGCTTGCTGGGTCACTACCACCTCCTTTTATTATTTGCATATGATTAAGTCCCTTTTAGATACATTTCCATCGAAATGAAAATTTTTGAATAATGTGGCTATTATTGCTTCATTAAGGCTGGCTCTGGGATTCGACCTGGAGAGATGAGCTTGTAAAAGCTTTGCTAGCAAACTTGACCTGTTTCTTGTCGCTTTTAATTTCTGTCTTTATTTTATTTACCCTCTATAATAATGGGAGTGTTAACTGCCAGTGACCGCCTCTGATTGTAGGGGCTTTGTTCCGGAGCATTTTCCCCCCTTCTATCTTCAAGAAAAGAAAAGTGTAGGGTCTGCTTATTTCTTATTTTATTAGGAATAAATCCAAGATAGGTGGTCTAAGGGAGACAGCGAGGATTTGAAATCTAGCAAATGCTGGCTATTTTCTCCCTGTCTATACGGTTCATTAGCCTGTCTTGTCAGTTTTCCTCGGCCGAACGCTTCTAGACCTCACTGAACATTGCTTTGTGTGGTGTTCACTGCAAGCTCGCCCATTTTATTGTACTTAATAGAAAAAATAAGACCAGGCCGAGGTTATAAAAACAGATAAATATGGACTTTTCTCCTCCTTCTTTCCACTCATCCTCCAGCTGGTATGTGCTCTGGGCCCTCTGGGTTGGCAGCTTGTGGACATGTCAGCATCAGGGGCACCCGACGGCTCCCTGGGTGAGGAGGGTGGGGGACCTCACACCGCCTTTGCTCTCCACTGAAGTCCTTGGCTTGCTTCGCCCCCTCCTCTCCTGTCCTCCCTCCAGGCCCTTCTTCCGATGCGTTTCTAAGTGGGGACGACTTTTCTTTGGAGTTGCTGTGGGGATTTCTCTCTCTGTCACCCCAACACCACCGTTTGCTCCCACTGTGCCTCTCTCTCTCTCTCCTGTGGCTGTATTTCTGGATTGGTCCAAAGGAGTTGCAAAAATGCAATGAAAGTGAAAACGTGTGGAGTGAGTGAGATGAAGCAGGGCTCAGGACAGTTCTGTTGCGAATTGTTGCAAGGCGTCTAGAGATTTGGGTAGCCGGCCTGCTCTGCACCCTCCCATCCTTCCCTCATATATAAGTGAAGGCCCAGAGTTGTGTCTCTTTCTGACTTCGCACGTGAGTCCAGACTTGGGGGAAGAGATCAGCCTGCCTTTGTTAAGCCAAAGACCAGCTACTCTGCAAGCTCTGCCATGATCTCTGTTGGCCAGGGGCTGTTTTGTACAGTCCTTGCCGGAGTGCCTGACACCTGGTTCTTGGTGTCATCTTATGGTTTTCTTCTCAACATCTTCCTCTTAAAATACATTATCAGTTTGACTTTCTCTGGGCAACCCCCGCGACACAGGCTGAATTCCTCTTTTGCCCATGGGGAGCGAGGAACAGGCAGAGCAGAGATTTAAAAGTGCCACTGCGCCGGGTCTGTACTGTGATCTGGAGAGTTGGAACTTTCGGCAGTGTAGACAAGTGCACAGAACACGCAGCGTGCGCAATCCCGGTGCAGCCCGACAGAGGTGGGAAAACTGCAGGCGGCTCTCAGTCCCGGCTCCCGCGGGCTGCCTGGCCTCATGTCTGGTTCAGCCCGCCAGCCCTCGCCTAGGAGCTGTTGAGTGCAGATTCTGCTGAGGAACCCTCGAGTAGCTGCTGTGGAATAAAAATTGCAATCCAACAAGCCTAACTAGAAAATGGGATTCTAAAAGCTCCGGAGTGCTGGGTACATAAAGCTATTTGAGCAAATTACAAGAATCGCTTAGGGGCATGAATGAAATCAACACTTTAATTGCCTCCAAAATGAAGATTTATACCCCATTTTCTCAAGGAATCATTATTTTATTAAAGTCAAAGATACAAGACCAAAGTTATGGGAATTTTTTGGATGAGGGAGAGGGTCTACAAAAATTAATGTAATGTCATAGAGTTACCCCCTTCTCGTTCCCTAAACTTTTGTCACCCAATTCCCTTAAGATATGCAAAGATTGGCATGCAATTGTATTGGGCAAAACTTCGCATTTTATTCTCTTCTACCTCTAAAATGAGAATCCTACTTCTGGTCCTGCGGGTTAAGAGTGGGCTTCGAAGCTCTGGCTGAGCTCGTGGCGCTGTTGGCCCATGCGCGTGGGCTCCCTCATGTGACCCCCTGGGGCTCACCCAGGTCTCAGCTGGTCAGAGGACAGCAAACCCAAAGTCGGGTTTGAAGAGGGGAGGGCAAATCGCTGGACGCCTGCGGTACAGTGCCTTGCACTCCGGTGGGCTCCCCTGCCCTGGGGAGGTGAGAAGCGATGAATGAAACACCAGGGAGCCTGGTGGGCGCCAGTTCTCCAGACTGGAGCCTGCTGGCCTGTCCCTCCGGGCCGCTGAACCCCTAGTGCGGCGTCCTAGGGGCCGGGCGGGAAGGGTGGCCTCTCCACCTCTGCGAAGGCGGCCCAGCCAGTTTGAACCTCCGCAGAGGGTGCGCTCCGGGACTGGAAGCTTCTCGTGCTGCGAGAGCGCTGGGCCTCGTTAGCTCATTAACCCCTCTGTCTCTAGGGCCCGCTCGCTGCACGGTTTATTTTATTTTACTTTTTTTCCTTGGAGGGTGCAAAGACTGCCACCCGCGCGGGAACCTGGGATCGACAAATTTGATACTAGGCAGTATCCCGGAGGGCTAAGTCGGTGGAAATCCACTTGGCCTTGTAATATTAGTTTAGTTCTTTCCTTTCCTGTTTCTCTTTCTTAATCTCTCTTTCCTTCCTTCCTTCCTTCTTTCTTTTTCTTTCTTTCTCTTTCTCTTTCCTTCCTTCCTCTTCTTTTTTCTTCCTTCTTCCTTTCTCCCTCTCCCTCCTTTTCTTCTCTCTTTCTTATTTATTTATTTATTTTTAAATCATATTAAGACACCAGTAGAAGCTGTAATCCCATTCTTCACCACACTCAGGTTCCTTCCCCCACCCCCAGTCTTGGGGGCCGCCTGGAGGTCCCAGCCGGAGAGAGCCACCTTGGCGGGCTCAAGCCTCCTGGGCGCCCTCTCCTGACCGCCGAGCTGTTGTCTCGGCTTGGACATTTCGGGAGGCTGGGGGAAGCGAGGGGCGCCAGTGGATTCCCGGCCTTGGCGTGGGGCGAGTTCCCAGCTGCGACCCGGAGCAGAGGGAAGGGGGGCCACGGTACTAGGCGTTGAGGCGAGGATTGAGCCTGCTTGGCTTAGGAGAACTATGCGTGTTCGACTGGAGGCGGGGCGCGTGTTCTAGGGGCCGTTGGTGGATTTGGGGCCGCCAAGAGAGGTTAGGCGGGGAGAGGCCTGGCCACCCAGTTGCCAGACTTTAGGCCGAGCTCCAGGAAGAAGTAGTCGGCTTCCTTCCTAGGCCGCTTCTGTTGCTCGCCACTCCTTGAATCTAAGCATTTTCCACTCCAAGAACGCGTTGAGAGAGAGGGGAGAGCGGAGCAGTCTCTAAGCCCCTAGGGCCGCCTCCTGGGGTGGCCACGCCTGCCGGTAGCCAGCCGAGATTAGCTAGGTCTGTGCTCTGGCCTCAGCGGTGGCCCTGGCTCTTCCCACAAGCAGCAGGAGGCAAAGAAATGGTCCCTTTGGATTACAGTTTTTATTCAACAGCAGCTCTCTGGGGGGTCCTCGTCTGAATCTGCATTTAGCAGCTCCTGGGCGAAAGCTGCCGGGTTGCACAGGGCGCCCTGTTGCATGTTAATCCAGATTTGCCTTTGACGTCTGGGGAGAAGTAATATGGCTTTCAGAGGTGGAACCGGAGAGCCACGCTCGCCAGGCAGGTTAAATGCCAAGTGCTGGCGGGCTCCCGGGGGACGGTCGCCGGCGCTGTGCGGCCCAGACTGGAGAGCGTGGGGCCGCCATGCCTCTGGGATCTGGGGCAGGCCGGGCCCAGTGCGCTTTGGTTCCCAAGTGGGCCTGGGAGCTCTCATGGCGGTTGTTTTATTTCAAAAGTTCACAGTTGCTTCTGAAGCAGAGTTTGGGTTAAAATTCTTAAAACTGAAGTAGAACTTGACAGAAAACGCCCCCCTCCGAAAAAGCGGGGGAGATTCTTGCAAGGGAGATTTAAGCTTTCCCTTCAGGGGAGGTGTCATCGTCAGGGAAAGGGCTGGGAGAGCAAGAAACAACCTCATGTCCTGCACTGATTGAATCTGCTACTTTAGAAGCAAACAAGTGGGGCCAGCGAATGTTTACTAATACTAGAAATGTCCGCAATTCATTGCCATCCAATAAGAAAACTGGACACAAACAGCGGGAGCCAGAAAAAATGCCCCCTTTGTCAGGTAGTTTGTTTTTAAATGCTTCCATTTGGATACATCTTATTTAAATTGTAAATGTTGCGTAGGTTTCCACTTAGTGCCTTAATCTCGAAACCTCTCAGTCCACAGGACTTGGAAGTGATAAAAAGTCTTAGCATCACCTAACTTTAAATGTGATTGCGTTGTGGGTCATGTGATGTAGACTTAATTCCTTTTAAAATATATGTCAAAGAGAAATTATGGCAAGATTCTCTTTAATGATTAAATAATAAGGTGTTGACTGCTTGTCACTACACTGGCTAATTGGGATGTTCATTGTAGGCACTTTATTACGTAGCACCCTTTGAATTAACAGTTAGTTGTTTACCGGGTATATTTTTATTGTTACTTTGTGATTTCCTTTTAGTGTGTATTTATGTGTAAGTTGCACAGAAAAGATGTATTGATTTTTATTAGGAGCACTTTTAAAACACTTTAGAAAAAACAAGGGGGAAAAAGTACAGCATGTATGCAGATAAGTTGAGATCAATTACGTTGGTAAATGTCTCTAAGTCTAAATGCTAATAATACAAAAATATCCTTTTCATAGTTTTTTTTCTCTCTCTGTCTCTTTCTCTTTCAATCTCTCTCACAGTGGAAGTCCCCAGTGCAAGTTCCATGAATAATGGAAAGCAATGATACTAATGCTACTTTGTACAAAGTAAAGCCTCA